ACTGTGTAATACTGTCCTATTTGTGAGTGGTCACTAACCAAGGTAGTCACTAAACGAGGAGCGGCTGTACTTTTTGCTTCCAGCTTCCTCATTTGTCATGACACATTGGATGAGTAGTACATTCAGCCAAGGTTTCTTCTCTTGCTAAGTTAGACGCAGTGGAAACAATAGTGGATACTTTGGCAGGACTCATTTACCTACAGGTTCCATGGCTTGATAACAAGTCCTTAGAGCACTACCAGGTGTGATTCCAGTCATCTAAGGGAGCAAACTGGGGCTCCCACTGATCAGTCATCACCACTGCCGTGTCCTTTTCATTCTATTTGGCACTCTCTTCCAGTTGCTGCAAAGAGGAAACTAGAATACAGAATTGCCATACCACCATTGTGGCTCGACGAGATGCTTTCAATTTACTTTATTTTACTGTGGGGAAGAAGAAGGTTTGTTTTTTGGCATGAAACTGCAGGCTGAGTCACTTTGTTATTGGACTATAGCTGAGCATTGATTAGCTGAGACATCTCTACTCACCTATTAGCCAGAAAGAACATGTTCTGATTAGCTTTTGGATCTTACGGAGCATTGCAGACTTGCAATACAGAAGTGTCTGTAGCGTCCTGGTAACTAAACTGGCAGGAACAGCCTAATCAAGCCCTGCTTCCTTTCTGTTCATAACATTTAGGAATGGCTGATTTTTGGGGAGGTGTCCTTATGCTTCTACAGCCTGACCTGTTAGTGACTATAACTGGCATGTGACTTTTAATAATATTCCTAGTAATCAGATATAATTACACAGTTCTTCAAGAAACAAACTTATATAAGCTGGAAATCAGACCCTTTCTGATCAGCCCGTAACCTAAAGCATAAAGAAGCAGGCCATGAACTGCAAGATTCCTGAAAATCAAACCAACAGCACTTGAATGCAAATATAAATAAGAACCAACTTGTTCAAACCCTGACAAACATTTTCCCGCTAGGTTTGCAAGTGGCAGAAAAGAAACATCAGCTTGGCACTTCAAATAATGCTTTCTTCCTTACTTAGCACTTTTATGTTCAAACTTATTTTTCCTTAATAGCTATGTTCTTTCTGCACAGCTTCAAGCTTTATTTTACCAGTCAGGAGTAATATGGCAGTAAACAAAATATGTTAATGCCATTGGTAGGTGGGGGGGACTGTTTGAAATTCAGTCAGAACTCCACCATTTTGTCCACTTTGCAGTTCTTAAAGAGTTGGTTAAGAAACAACATGGGCACATACTGTAGAATAAAAGCTGATTTGGCTATTCAGAAAGACCAGTTTCAGAATGGGGGAAGGGGAGCAACCATGCTATGGCTGGCCCACATCCAGTGAAATGAAGCAGGAGCTTATATGCTCCAGAAGTCACCTCCTGTTTGTGGAACCCACTTATTGCTTTAAAAACCAATGTTTAGCAATATATATTTTTCATCCTTGTGAAGATCCCAGCTTTGATCAAAGATTCAAGTGTGCTTCATATGATGATTATATGCCATCAAATTGGTTTTGACTCTTAGCAACCACATAGATAGATTTTTCTCCATGACATTCCATCCCTAACCTGTTCTTTCAAGTTGTTGGGAAACGGGTGCTCTCATCGCCAGCATAACTGAATCCATCCTTGCTGCTGGTCAACCTCTTCTTCTCTGTCCTTCCACCTATCCCAGCATTAGAGCCTTTTCCAGAGAGCTAGGTCTTCACATAATGTGTCTAGGATAATTTGAGCCTGGTCATAAAAAAATACTTGGTTTTTAGTGATTCATCCTTTAAGCCTATTTGTACTGCATATAGATAGGCTTAAAGGACGAATCACTAAAAACCAAGGATTTTTTTTTCTTTCATAATAAATGAGAATATCTCAAGGATTTGTGTTTCCATTACATGGATTTACATAAGGAATTGTCTCACCAAAAGATACATTTGTCCATTATCTTATGGAAACATTTTCTGGACTTAGGCTGTGTGGGATAACATTGCAGTTACCAGTAAGTCACTAGTTCATATATCTGGTGTTCATATAGTATGGTGATCACAGAGGTAAAATGAGCCCTGTAACAGGAAAACTGGAAAAGAAAAAAAAAGATAAGTGGAGAAACTAACTATGACTATTCAGTGTCCTTTTAGTCTGTTGAATAAATTCCCACAATCCCCAATCAGCATGAATGTTGAAATCAACTATATATACAGACAACCATCTTGGGGAAGTTTTCTTTAAAAAAGGCTTTAAAGGAGCTCGGTGGAAAATAATTTTAAAAATTGTGCTTAAAATAACTGTTTAACCACACCAAAGCTATTCCAACAGCAAAAAGTTTCAGGACAAGCGGAGATCTCTACTTGGTCTGTCGAATAATCATGTAGCACACACTTCAATACATCACATTGGCTTTCAGGAATACATGTTGAGGCTAGACCTGCCCCTTGCTGGTTATCTGGTTTTTTAAGGTTAGCCATATTAGTACACTAGAAAGCATTTTAGTGTGTTTAGTACTAATAATCCAGGCACTAAGATCATGAGTAACCATCATCATCCCATACCAGTACACAGCAGATTGAAGGCCTGTTCACTGAAGTTGGTAGATGTTTTTCAATGTCAACAGATGGTTTTTGTCCAGAGCTAGGAGAGAGCAATTGGGCCATATCACCCAGTCATCTAGGTGAGGCCTGGGTCTCCCTGTTCCTACTCCAGCACCTTAACTACTACACCATGCTGGCTCTCAATTACTATTTTTATAAAATCATGTATATATATATATATACATATATATATACATGATAAAAAGAACCACAAATTCTGTAAAGAAAAATGTTTTATTTAAAGTCTTAAATACCATCACCAGAATGAATTTGATTTACATTGATTGGTATTCATCAAAAGGCCTAGTCTGCCTTTTCACTCCCAACCTTGATTCCCTTTACTTTTAAAACAGACTATGTACAAGACAGCTGTGGTCACTGGAAGTATGCTATTTACATGACTAAATTATAAGCAGCGCTGCAGACATGTGAATATTAAAAAAATACAATCAAAAATAAATACTGCATAATGACCAGATATGTACACACTTTCCATATGGTCATGTCCTCCTTGTCTGAATTAGAAATAATTTTATAGGAATATGCATAAAGTGTGCACCCACTGCATATCACAGTATCAGGAAAAGAGTCGTACACTTTAAAAATGTTTTTATTTTTAGGGATTAATGCATGTATTAGTAGTCATTGATTGCTCATACACAGGTGATTAAATTATTTCAGTCAATACATTTTTACCAATTGTCATTAACCTATACATAATCTTGTAAAAGAACAATTATCCTTCTGATCTAGGTAATTCTTTTATGAATGCAAAAGGGCCTGGTACATAAATCGAACTCCTGTCCACCAGGATTTCCCTTGGGGTGCAGGTGCTGTTTGAGATCACTGCATGGGTACAATTCACCAAGCCTTTTGACTTGTATAATTCCATTCACATTCAATGGTACTCATGCACGGTACATGGGCAAACCTGAAGGAGTCTGCTCATAGTCCTGTTTTAAAATTGCACCATATAAAAGAAATGGCAGTATACCCATTTTTCCTTTTGCCCTCCTATAATTCATGTCCATACAGGGATATGTAAATACAAAATTAAAATATTCATGAGTATGGCCTTAAATTAATAGTTGTACATATTAAAATATTATTGCAATGCCTCATCATTAAACAATAGGTCTGTAAGGCATCTAAAGATACAGGAAAAAAGGATGATGTACTTCAACATTAACAAGTTACATATCCTTTCATCAGGAGAAAATGAGATCTCAGCTTAAAATTATCCACCTTTCCAGTGACTCAAAATTACCTGATATAGGAAGTGGGTTGGTTGCTTCAAATATCTGCAGCATTTGCATTTTAGGTTCTTGGTGATGGGTGTCAAAATTAGTAAATGTTATGTATATTGTTTAAGGCGTTTAAGAATTGAAAAAAAAACCCTGCAATCTCTTCAGGCGTGTAATTACCACTAATAGAAAGATTAAATAGATACAGGACTGTAGCTCAAATTATGACTTGAATGTCAAGTTCATATTCACTGATTTCCCATCCCAGTTTATGAAAACTGAACAGAATAGTTTAATAGGTAACAATTTATTTGGCTCAATGGAAGTGATAAGATGCTGATATTTACCAAGACTGTTCCATGTTATTTATCTAGAAATGATAGTTCAACCTCTGAATGAATGATGCTGGTGCTGAAAACAAATTTATTGAAGACATTTTACAAATGGCCACATGATTCCAGTATTTTGCTGTAGAATTCAATTTGAAGGTGAGAGGGAAAAGTTTTCATGCACTGTACAATAAACAGCAAAAAGTTCAATTTGTTATCAAATACATGCTGAATTATTGTAATGTACTCCCCAAGCCATGTTGCAAAATTCTTTTCAACATGCTTGAAAAAAGTTCTTCAACAATGTTTTCCTCAAAGATTTCAGAAATGCAGAATCAGTCTGTATCCCTGAATCAAATAGGGAGCTTAAGAGTAGTAAGTCAAAAAGTAGCAATTTCGAAGGATAATGATCGTCCTGGGAGCCAGGACAGCAACGAGAGGGCAAAAGGAGGATGGGGGAAACAAGAAGGGAAAGAAGTGTACAATTTGCACATATTGTTGAACTTTACAAGGCTTGTACCTTTTGCATTTAAATAAATTTAATATATTACATTTAATTTCTTGTCACATAAACATAATTTGAGTATTTGCTAGAAATTATTAATTTTCATTGTTGTCTGCAAAAACACAGACCATGATTGGTTTAAAGAATGATAACTTGGTGTGTCTATCACCCTGTTGCATTCTCTCCCTTTTAAAACCATGCACTAGTGAAATTTATTTTTAAAAATAATATAAATTGTTGAAAATGGCTGATTTATTCTTTTTTTTTTTTTTGCAAGTTGCAGCCCCAAGAAAATAATTTTAAATGTTCAGCATAATTTGTGTCCATGCAAAAAAGTGTCTTTAATTCATACAGTACAGTATAGCCACAGAATTTTACTTTTCACTTAGTCCACGCTGGATTTGACTCTATAGTAGCCGGAGTTACAAAACCTGCCACTCTAAGTCTTCAAGCTTTCTGATAAGGCAAGTTTCCTCTGCTGTTAATGAATGCAATGACAGCTCACTTTTCTTTTCTCTTCTCTTCTTCTAATGATCTGCAGTATGACTTCTTTGGGTAGCTCCATATTTCTGTGGCATAACCAGGCTTGGGAGGGTGCGGGCAGAAAAGGGCCAATAAAGAAAAGGGAACAAGAAAATAGACGTGCCATTGAAAGGGATTCTAGTTGCATCAGACAACTTGATTCTTTAGTTTAATCCATGGCTTCAAATTGGATTAAAAGTTGAGTGTCACTGAACTCCAAACCATTCAGTTCTTCCAGTTCCACTCCTTCACCTGAGGACTTCCTTTAGAGCACAATGTGTGCAACTTCCTCTGAGAATACAGGATCGCTTTCTAGCCCTAGAGACAGGCTCCAAAGACGCAACATTAAGCATGCAGTGTTACCAGAGCTTGCGACCTGTTAATATTTTTTGTAACGCTGGTTGCTATGATAAAGTTCACAGCTGCTATGAGCGAGCGTACGACGGTCCTGTTGAACTTTCAAGAGATGATTGGGAAGCCCTTCTTGTAAGAGGGGCCAAAGTTGGATCTACTAGGGACGAAGGAGGGAAAAGTTTGAACCAGCCAATCACCATATTGGACAGGTCCAGTTCTTCTAAAAGTATCTGTGCTACTCCCATAAACGATTTATGATCCATACGTCCATAGTCTCCCCATACAATAATCTGTTGGATTAAAAAGAAAGAATACCTTTTAAGGAAGTGGCAAAGGTAATGCAATATTTTATCTAGAATAGCTCTAAGATGAATAGACTGATACGTGGTCTATTCAAGAAAAACATGAGCTGGAAATACTGTTTGGGATCCAAATTACTTTAGCTCAAGTTCATTTCAAGTATCCTGGGTCTTTCCCAATTTCATCTTCTGTCTGAGCCATATTATGATGCACCAAATGTTCCTCTAAACAGTTCCCTTAACATTTGGAGAATAGAATGGTCTTAGATAGCTCATGTTACATTTTATCTCAGATGAAGACTAGAATTTAGGTTCTAATAGAGGTGAATCCAAACAGAATTCTCTTCGTAATTTAAAATATGGATTGATACATTTGCTTACATCAAAAAGACTTGCAAAGTACATTTGCAAATGCAAAAGGATATCCCAAAGATACAGTTAACACTATCCAGGGTTTAACTCTAAAATCCTAAAAATGCAATTCATTATCAAATCAAAGCACATTCATTTGATTTTACCAGCAGCTGGCATGTGGAGCAAGCAATAACTCAAAACCTAGCTACCCTACTGGAACGCTCGGAATATGTCTGATAATAACTCCCTTCCTGGCAAACTTTGTAGCAGGGTTGCAATCAAAGGTGCACAAATATCTCTACAAAAATGAGAGTTCAAAAAGAACATGAGTCACTGATTCCACCTTTTATCTATAGCAAGAGGTAAATAGAACCAAAATAGTGCTACGATAAAGTAAAGACTCCAACTCCAAGCTAAACCTCTGATGATTTCCTGGACAAGTTCATGTACTTTTCTTGGCAAAAATTCCGAAGTAGTTTGCCACAGCATTCTTCTGAAGTGTTCTTCTTTCCACTCCAACCTTCAGGCCTGGAGTCTCCTGGTCATCTCCTATCCAGCAAAGGTTGGTTGATATTACAATATCTGTCCCTTGATAGTTCTCAAGCTAGTACCTTAAACTGGACCAGTGTAAAGACTTGAAGATAGTTCAGTACTGTAATACTGGATACATAAAAGGTAGGATATTATCTGAATTTAGGTCCTCTCATACCGGAATGACTAGTAATCTGTCTTGAATCTCTTTACAGATCTATCTCCTACATTTCTTGTTTAATAAACTCTGAGATTTTCAGGACCTGACACAAAATGATGAATGTAAAAAATAAATTAAGTTGGAAGGTGTTTATCCATTCTCTTCCAAAATAGATTTAAATTTATTATCCCAAATAATTGTTTAAAATTTAAAATATGGTCATATGAATGATAATCTGAAAGGAACTCCCATTAACTTCAGCATTAAGTTTTCACCAATTACGTTATGTAGACTTTTAATCTGCAGTCTTGGATTTAATTTTTATTTGCTGCAGTTTCCAATCATATTGTTATATTGTACTTCTATTTACAGTGGGGCAAAAAAGTATTTAGTCAGCCACCAATTGTGCAGGTTCTCCCACTTAAAAAGATGAGAGAGGCCTGT